TGCTACAAATGGGAAAATAAAGCGACCGTCTCTCGAGGCGGCCAAACCTACCTTTCTCGCCGCCGCCACTGTTGGAAGACGCGGGCAACACTCCACGTGCTTATGCTAATTAGGTCGAGAGCGGGAAATTTTACTTCCGGTTGGCGTCCACCTCGCCGCCTCCAGTGTTTGCTTAAGGTCTCTATTATTAATAAACGCACCGTTATTTGCCTGTGTTCCTTTGTCTTTTTGAGTCGTTTAGTTTACATTTGAAATACGTTATTTTGTTTGCCGCTTTGTAAACGTGACGCTTCGACTGGCTTCTATTCATTCTAAACGACTTAAAAAGACACAGGAACACAGGTAGATAACAATACATTTATTTTAAAAGATTATGTTATTACTGATACAGAGTTTGGTTCCACTGTGACGTCATTATCAAGTCAAAAATGAATAAAATTGTGAGGGAATATCAATGAAAAGGAATTCCTAAGAGACAAGAAATAATATAATAAAAATGTGACGATGATGTAATCAGGTATCAGCACGCAGCAAACAATTCTCCGTCTTGAAGAAGTGCAAATCGAAGTTTGATTGCTTAATTTAATTTTTAAAACGCTCCTTAAAGAGTTGAAACCTGTGTTTAAAAACACTCAAAAAGAAAATTAAAAATTAAAAAGACTCTATTCACGCCAAACGTTTTACGTGACTCTGCGTGTTAATAACCTACATCGTCGCCACATTTCTTTGACAGTTATTTAAATTCGCACACAATCAGGGGATTTACAGAAAAAAACAGTCTTCACTTTCGGATATTTTGTGCCTCTTAAGCTCATTTTAATTTAAAGGAGAATTGTCTCAATTTGTTGTCGGCCGAGAGGTGAGGTACATTTTTGAATAATTTTTTCCTATCTTCTATGCCAGAGTAATGTTTGACCCAAGACTTCACGGGTGTAGGTACAACCTCTGATTTTTCTTGGAACAGACGGTAGTGGTATTTACACTTCATTTTAGAGAGAGGAACCGATTTTTCAGTGGAAAAGTCAAAAATGTCACAGTGTATGTAAGTAGAAGTACATGATGATCTTACCTGACCCTAACGTGGGAAATTTGAGTTTAATCTTCCAAAAGTCCAAATGTCCTAGGAACTGACCGGCGGGGAAGTAAAAGTCAGTGATACTCATCACTAGTGTGCAGACTAGAAGAAGAACATTTACTGTTTCTTGACTTTCATTAAAAAGTTGAAGTACTGATGCGCGCGTACACAGCTGTAAATTTTATAAAATTACAATTATACAGAGAGAAATAATTGGAAATCGTTAGGAGAAAAAAAATTAAGGTTAGAATTCTGCTAAAACAATTACACTATTCGCTCTCAATTGCTATGAGCTCAACATGACAATTCAAACAGGGCGCTTTTATCTTTTACGACCGGTGGTGCGGATTGCCACCCCTCCCCCTCAAATTAATTTGCTTCCTCGTGAATGTCAAACAAAATCGCAAAGGTTGGCAGCATTACTTGAATAGTGAAAACGGGTAGGGATACCACCTGTTTAATAGTTGAAATAAATGTTTTGATAGCAAAGCGACTTAAAATTGAAGTCGAAACTCCCATAGGCAGACACCTTTGGTACTAGTAAAATTAAAAAGTGTCAAATGAGAGAGGTGACGGCTTATAAGATTTTAAAATGTAGTGTTTGCATATAGCTGGGAGAATGTTCCAGTGTCCGCTGAGTGAAGATGACAATATTTGGATGAAAAAAATTCCTATTTGCAGGCTGGCTTATTTAGTTCAAAGACACAGAATATGGTAACCTGCCAGAGGTGTCAAGTAACTCGGTCTTTAAACTAGGGTCTCTACTCGAACACGAACGCCATCTCTTGCACTCAAGGAGCCGCCAGGGTGTATAATCAGAGGTACTTGTGTCTCGGGTGACTGCACAAACTTGTACCTCAGCAGGATTTTCACCAGGGCAATCTTGATCTCCATCAGGGCGAACCTCATCCCGATACAGTTCCTGGGCCCGGCACCAAACGGTAGGAACTGAAAGGCATGGATGGCGTCCTTAGAGGAACCGCGGAATCTCTCAGGGTCAAACGTCTCCGGGTTCTGCCAAGCATCAGGGTCATGGTGAAGGGCGTATATGGGAATCAGTATCTCCGTTCCAGCTGGAATGTGGATTCCATTCAGGTCATAATCTTCAGAGCATTCTCGGGTGGCCTGGACACCCGGGGGACACATTCGCTGAGATTCCTTAATGACGCAATCGAGGTATTCGATGCTGTGAGTCAGATCGTAGAGCGAAATATCGGTATTGGACTCCATGGCGTCTTTGATGTCTGCCCTCAGTTTTTCTTGAACATCCGGGTTCGTGGCCAAGAAATACGCAGTAAAGCTTAACGTGTTGCTTGAGGTTTCATAACCAGCTAATAGGAAGAAGACTGATTGTGCTACAATCTCCTCGTCAGTAAGTCTGCTGACCCCTTCCACCGTGGTTTCGTCTTTGGCCGTCATCATGAGTTGTAGCAGGTCCTTCCGTCCCATGAGCCCTTGCTGGCGACGGGTTTTGATAATTTCGTCGACAATGCCAAGAAAATATGTCGGTTGGTTTCCAAATATAGCACCCAGTACCGAAAAGAGAAGAGTGCCAAACGGCAAGCGTTCAATCTGCCGGACAATCAAAGGAATTCTAAATATTGCCTGTGCCTTTTGCAGCATTTCTGTATTTTCTCCCATTTGAATGTTCGCATCCACGCCAAAGGCCGTTGATAAAATCACTTCGAATGTCAGCTGACTGAACCAGTCGAGCATATCCACACTTTCACCTGACGGAAAAGAACGCAGGGTATAAAACCTCTCAAAACTAATTACTGTATTACAAGGCTTGGCATAGACCAAGCAATAGCCTCCCAGGCAGAAGGTCTTAAAGCTTAGCGTCTGCGAGGGAGGCTAACCAAGTGAGCGAGTGAAGAACTGTCCAGTCGCCACTTTCGACCAGCAGATAATTGCTTATTGCCAGACGTGCCTAATCGATGATAGAGCCATGATAAATGGCAACATTGAGTAATCGATGGGTAATCGGTGAGTAATCAACTGATTAGTCATTGATTATAGGCGATAATCAATGAGCAATCGCTGGCCAAAAATTTTGTGGCCTATGGGTTACTCATGGATTAGATCGATTACTCATCGAGGCCTTTGATTATCCATTGATGATTTTGATTATTCTTCGATTACTCTTTGATTACCCATCAATTTCTCATTGATTGCACATAATACATTATTATGCTGCACATCTATTTAAGCTTTGTGGCATTTTTCTGTACGTGTATAGTCCTGACCAATCAATGTCATTGAAAACTAATCAATGGAATCAATGACTAATCGATTTTGTGCCTGTATCCGATTATTCAAAGATTACATGACTGATCAACTTATTACCCTTTCAATTATTTCATTTCACTGAACGATATCATATTCACAAATGAAAAGCTTTTCAGATTTAAAATGATTGTTTCACCTTTATCCAATTTTTGTAAAAAGGAAGTTGAATTCTTCGAACATCTACTTTTTTACTGTAGGTGTACAGAAGCCTTTTGGCAGGCTCTTACTTCTAAGCTTAGAAAACAAAACATTTTTGTAGAGACTCTAACACTAATGACTATCTTATTTGGTGAGTTTAGTGAAAGCAAAGATAATACCATTTTAAATCACCCGATACTTATACATTATGGCAAAATTTTATATCTTTAAATGCAAATCGAACAATATGGAACTATCATTAGAGGTTTACAAAAAATGGGAAAACTCTTAACTTGTAATTTCAGCTAAACTTTCAACGTTGTTTCTTGAGCCCCCTCTCCCAAAAAAGGAACTGTAAATAAGACTTTACTGTATGTAACGTATTGTAAGTAGTTTTCTGTGAGTAATGTATTGTAAGTACTTTAAGTGTATGTAGTGTACGTTTAGTAATGTAATTTATTGTAACTAGTCTATTGTAAGCAACATACTGTAATTCGGTATCTGTAAGTAAAGTATTGTTATTAGTATGTTTAAGTATGGTTAAGTTGTGTGTCATATTGTACTGTGTTATAAGTGCAATCAAAAAATTGCAAAATTACAAAAATAAAACCCTTTCATTGATCTCACGATTAGTACTTCTAGCTTTTGTCACGATTTCCAAAGTCCCGCCGTAGTCAATCGAACGAGACCGAACCAAAAATCAATCGATCTTAATCGTTCGATTGGAGTTCGATTGGTTCGGTAATCGAACATAATCGAACTGGAACTTTTTGGTGAGTTCGATTACCGAACCCAATCGAACTCAATCGACGCGATTGGTTCGATTTTGTTCTTAAGAAAAATAAATTCATCAAGCAGCGTTTGAGAGCGGCTTTGTTTCTAGCCTCAATGGAACATTAATTCCACCTCCAGGTCTTCATCTACCTCTCGGATCATCTTTGGGGCTATCAGTCACAAACCTTAGACCATAAACAGGGAAATTTTATCAGATCTTTGTACATAACAGTCAGTGCTTCATGCTAGCGAGAATGAGACTTACACTTCAACTTTTTCCTTCAGCGGCCAAAGCACAGGCACCAGTTCTCGTTGTAAATGACCAAGTTGGCCGCGGTCATCGTCAATTACCCTCAAAGCCGGACCCCTTTCTCCTCTTTTCTTCTTGACAATAAATCTATCCCCGACACGGACGGCGAAAGAGCACTCGTGGTAGCCTTTTACCACCGCTTCCAGAATGGTTAGTTTCACCTCTTCTGCCCTGTCCGACATCTTGCCTGTTGTACTCGTGTTTGAAATAGAACTTATTTCACCGCCACGCTTTGTTTCAAAACAGATGAAACTGGTTTTATGTTCGATTGTTGAAGTGTTCGATTACCAACCTTCAATTGCGTTCGATTGGTAAAATTTTTGGGTGAGTTCGATTAAGTTCGATTACCGAACCCAGTCGAACTCAATCGAGTGATTGAAGTCGATTGAGTTCGATTACCGAACGTTCGATTGACTACGCCGGGCATAGTGTTTACCTATAACTAACGAAATACGGTCATTGGATGCTGCACCTTTGTGTCAGTCATGAACGGCAGGCAGGCTTTGCGGCCTCGACAGCCTAGAGACACTGCAGAGGGATGGTTATTAATCACGTCCCGTCAAATTCATTATTTATTCAAAACCGAACATGATCTTGATGTCACGAAAGACTGTCACGCAAGACAGTCACGTCTTATGAACGGGCTCCTCACGTATCACTATAAATCAATAAACTAAAACACCCAAATGACTACGAATACTGCATAGCATATTGTTTCAGTAGTTTTTTGTTGGCAACCAAAAAAAGTTATCCCCTGACTTACCTGAATCAGCAATTTTCTCAAGTTTTTCCATCAGCGTGTCACATGACTTCTCCATCAAAGGAACCATCAATTTCATTTTCCCTGCGCTGAATGTTGGCGTCAGTATGTTACGGATTCGTTTCCAGCTGTTACCTTGAGAGTGAAAGACGTTCTTGTTAAAAGGAGCACCTGGAAACTGGAAAATGTAACGATCGCGGAAGTTTGGAAAATCCTTGATCAGTATCAGCTTTAAGAGCTCGGGATCCGCAACGACGAGCGATGGTTTGGCACCCAGACAGATGGCGAACACTTTGCCGTATTTTTTAACGTAATCGAGACACAAGAGATGCATTCCATTGTATTTCCTCACTTCAAGAAAGTTTCCAAGGAATGGAACAGGTTTGGGAATATGAGGAACGTTGAGTTTCTTAAGGTCTGCGAAGCCACGCGTTCCGCACCAGTAGAGGAACAACGACACTACGAGAAGTGACAGTGTCGTGATGGCAGCAGGATGAACGAGGGATTCCAAAGACAAAATGTTCCGTAGCGATTCCATCATCGATGGTCTTCAAAATGTGTACTATATAAAGGTCCTGAAGCAAGCCTGGAGTAAAGAGAAATGTGGGAAATCAAAATCTCACCGCAAGATCTGCAACCCACTCGCTGCAACTGAAATTAATTCAATTCAGTTCATCGTTCACTTGTTCACTTGTGCTTTGCTCTCCGAATTCTTCTGTTTCGCGCTCGCCGAAATTTTTTTCCGTCCTCGCCGGGAGCCTGTTCGCAGGCTAAAACAGATACAGCTGCGTAGTAAGGGATCGCCGAGGAATAGCTCTGACCGTCTAGCCACTGGTCCAGCTGAAAATGGTTCTCGGATGAATGACTGGATACGGAATCGTATAATCTTTATATTGTTTATTCGATCTATAAGGAAGATACATAATTCTTGAGAAACCTAATAGCGAGCGATGCGTGAAATTGCATGGGAAATTATAATTCTCAAAATTGAACCGGTTACAAAAACAAATTACTTACTTGTGTGGCGATATCCAGTCAAACTTTAATATTTCAGTAACAGGTCAGCGAAACGGGTTAGCAGATCGAGCAGTATAACACTACAGTTTAGCGATGTTCAACCTAAGGTACAAAACACTTTGTGATCTTTGTCACTGATTTCGTGTTTTTGAAAACGTGTCATTCCATACGGCGCCCATTCAAGCGGAGTGGCTGAAATGTATAGAAATTTTGAAGAGTCTTAATATCGTATACTAATATCGAGTAATGTCTATGTTAAAGTTCAAAATAAACTTAAACCTACCTCAGTTGTTGTGTATTGTCGTTTTTGCGACTCAAAATGGCGACTTTGAGCGATCTGGTGGGTTTTGCGTTGACTGATATCACAGTCAACCCAGACGTTGAATGCGATTAATACGTGACATTATACTGTTGGCGATTGCGTTACAATTTTAACCGTTTATAAGACAATGTATGAGAATGCTTCGAAAACTTTAATTAATGGTTAATACTGAACTAACTGGTGTACAAGAATGGCTAACACTACATCAATTGACTCTTAATATAAAAAAAAATCAAACTTCGTCATTTTTAAATCCCACAAAAAACGGTGAAAGAGATAATTACATCTTCAGTTAAGTGGCAGTGATTTACAGAGAGTGGAAGAAAGTAAATTCTTAGGAGTTCGAATAGATTAACACTTAACATGGAAGAACCAGTGAATACGTCACTAAAAAAATTATAAGAACTACCAGACTTCTTTGTAGAATTCGTTATGTTTATCAATCGCTTTTGGTAATGTTATACAACAATTTAATTTATCCGTACCTGCACTACGGGAATATTGTTTGGGCCTAAACTATCCGGCACAAGGTTAGATAAATTGTTTAAACAACAAAAGAAGATATTAACAGTCATAATTTTCTCGTCATACTCTGCACCATCTCTTCCGCTTTTTACAGGCTTAGGTCTTTTGAATATTTTTTAAATAAATGATTTTCTTATTGGTTCCTTCAGTTTCAGCCTTAATAATAAGGTACTCCCATTCTATTTTAATGACTTTTGCATAGAAAATTCACGAGTCCATGAACATAATACAGGAGAGTCGAAGCATCCACATTCGATCTTTCGCCGAACCAATTATGGTCAATTCTCTACAAGAAACAAGATAATTGAAATCTGGAATAGAATACCCTTAAATATAAAAAATTCTTCACCTATAAAACTATTCAACAGGAGATTGAAACAGTTGATCCAATCATAGACTAGGGATAGTTCAATAGAAATACAATTAAAATTTATTTATGTGTAAGAAATAGAAAACACGTATCGTGTTTCTATTAAGTTATAGAAACAAGAAGAAGTTTGGGAGAACGAGAAATGTTGTCAGTGGGAACACGAGCCGCAGGCAAGTGTTTCCACAGCTTTTTCGAGTTCTCCCAAMCTTTCACGAGTGTTTCTATAACTCGATAGAAACATGGAGAACATGTTTTCTATTTCTTTTAGAAAACACCGCGACGAAAAAAAAGGAAAACAAATTGTTAACTTTGATTATCAAAATGTAAATTCTCTTTGCTCGCGCCATCATTACGTCGACAGCTCGTGCTAGTTCTGTGTTTCAATCGAGTTATAGAAACACGATTTTTAACCAATCAGCGCGCATATTTTCTTAGGGCTGTTTTCTAAAATTACATGTATGAGATCAGATAATTTTATTGTAATTATCTGTAAAATGCTGATTTCACTGTTACCTTCTGAATGAATATATGGTTTTTATTTAGAACTAAGCAACGTAAAGGGAGACTACTTTGTAAAAAGCCTGTAAGGGTTTCTTTAGTCTTCCTCCCAAAGCAATTTTATATGTAGCACTATTCAATATGTACTTTTTTGATTATGGTAAATAAAATAAACTGTTCCAACATCAAAATAACGTGATCGTATGAGAATAAGATGTACGTCACCTCTTGATGATGCAGCAGTACAAAGTTCAATAACGCGTCACGGCTAATTTCACAATTGTCCTACTGTAGCATATATAAATCGATTAGCTACTACGATTTCTACTACTGTCGCTACAACCGTCGCTGGCTCGTGAATGTTGTTCTGGCAAATTTCTCTACTGAGAGCAGCGGGAAAAGGGTACGTTACTACCATCAGCAGCAATTATGTTCACACAGCTAGTGTACTGAATCGGTAGTTCGTTACTATAATGTACTAAGTCGGTATCAACGATTGAAATTTTGTGAGGTTTGCTTGGGCAATTTGATATTTGAATGTAAACAAAGAGAGGTCTCAGCTGAATTCTTCATTTTAGGCTTGCGTCTACAGAGTACACTGTGCAGATTTGAACAATACTGATATTAAAAGAGGATGGAGGTTTTGGAGCAGACGTCTTTGGAATTCCTCGCTCATCCTGCTGCCATCGCGTCGCTTGTACTCCTGGTAGCGTTGTTTCTCTACTGGTATGGAACGCGAGGCTTCGCAGCTCTCAAGATACTCAACGTCCCTGGTCCCAAACCTATTCCGTTCATCGGGAACTTTCTTGAAGCGAGGAAATATGATGGTCTGCATCTCATGCATCTCGACTACCTTAAGAAGTACGGGAAAGTTTATACCCTCTGTATGGGGGGCAAACCTTCGCTCGTCGTTGCAGATCCAGAGTTGTTGAAGCAGATAATGATCAAAGACTTTCCAAACTTTCGCAATCGCTACATAATTCAAAGGGAGGGTGTCTTCGACAAAGGGGTCTTAAATGCAAGGGACGAAACCTGGAAGCGAATCCGTAACACGCTGACGCCCACCTTTAGCGCCGGAAAGATGAAGCTGATGGTGCCATTGATTGAGAAGTCGTGTGACACGCTCATGGACAAACTTGGGAAAATTGCTGATTCAGGCGAGTAACGAAACACTTTTCAGCTTTATCTGCTTTTACCTTCACCATGTAAAGCAAAATGACTAACTGATCGATAGTTACATAGCGACATTAGTACCGTAATCTGCCTTTGCATGCTTCGGGGATGTCACGCAACGCTCCCCCTAAAAAAACTCCCAACGCCCCAAAGAAACTCCCAACGGAACTCCTAACGCCCCAAAGAAACTCCCAACGGAACTCCTAACGTCCCAAAGAAGCTTAAGGTGAAGGTACAACCCGTGTGGACTGAAGAGAATTGAAGAGAATTGAAGGGAATGACACAGAACGAAAAAAAAAGGAATGCACATGGGAATCCTTTTTCTTGTTCCAGTTGATGCCGGTTGTAATTCAATGTAAATAAACTCAAAACTCCTAAATGGCACTACAAGAAGTAGTTTGTGTCCCCCACCTTTTAATCACCAGCTATTTAGCCATGTCTGCATCTTTAATGATCCATTCACAACAGATTCAAATCACAACCAAATGAAAAAACACAATTCACAAGCAGCTTAAAGAGGAAGGTGGTCAGATAGATAATATTTTTAAGCAAGTTCTTTCAGAGGGAGTTTTCTGTATTCAGTTCAATATTCAAGCATGAATTCCAGCAAATTTTTATTCTTGAAAGACACAAAAAGCACATCACTGAAACATATTAGAGAAGTATATTTGCAAAGCTCTCATGTGAGAATTTAATAAAACTGGTAATAGTTATCACTAAATCTGCCCCCGCTTTCTTTTATTTCTGCTGATTGAAAACAATAATATTGAATATTTCTGTATGAACTAAATATTTTATTTTTTATTTTGGTAAACTATATCACTCATACTGTTCCAGTAACTTAGGCATCTTACCATGAATATGATCCAAACAATCAACTAAGTTCACTAAACCAACACATTCTGTTTAGTTTATATGAAATAATTCTTTCCAATTGCTTAAATTGGAAAATTAACTGCGATGATCATTCTTCACTTTCACCAACACATTCTGTTTAACTCATTCTATCACATGATATTCTTTACATAATACTCTCACGAAGCATTTACAGCAGAGCAGTTTACCATATTTCGTTAGAATGGACGCAAAAAGGTTGCATTGCCTTCATGGAAACTGATACTGATTTCTTTTACAAAAATTTCACTCAGTAGAACTTTATAGCGAAAAAAGGTTAAAAATCTATAGCGAAACAAAAAATTAAGTCAAACTACTCTGCTGTTACAATTTGATACTGAAACAAACCATTTGTCTTGATAAACGAGCAAACGTATCTCGAAAGCAGAGCGGAGGTCGATTTTTTTCCCGAGACGTAAACAGAAGTATCGCGTTACAGTCACCATGTATGCAAATTAGAGTAAAGCTTTTTGACCTCAACGAAAACGCTGCAAAACAATTGCATTTACATTTGGATCGTTGCAAAGTCACCCAACCGTCACATGAGCTCTACGCCACGTAGGATTACTCAATACAAATAAGCAATCCGAATAACCGAGATGCCAAAGGTAAAACTGGCGATCGGAAGGGTATTTAACACTGACCTCGAATTTCTAGTTTACCTCAGAATTTCTTACGATACCTTCTGAGTTGTTTTTCTCCCAAAATCCATCTTCAGCATCTTTGAAATCGTTTTCAATTTGACCTAGATGAGAATCTCGGCCATTTCGAAGCGAATTCATTTGATCGCGCTAAAATCGTCATGCAGGCCATA